ATTTGCTACTGTAGTTATAAGTGTACCATGTACAGAATATGGAATCAGTTAAGCTTCTCAGCTACATACACCCACCTTTACTAATTCTTGTCTTAGAATTATGGGAATTAAAATCTAAGCCTCTTGTGAAAGATCACAGTGATTATGACTCACTATATTATATCAAATGAGGTTGGTCAGGACTACTTCACAATGCACTGAAACTAAGTTTCCTAATACTGAATTTATTTACCAGTAAATCTTATCGGGAGCCATTTCCAGAACATCTTATATTTTGAGTATTAATGCCAGATGCATAAATTATTTCAACTAAAGCTAATCTAGGCACTCAATATTGCCAATGTACAGGAATATTTGGCATTCAGAAATTTGGTTGACATTACATATCCTTATTTCACATCAGAGAGAGAGTTGGAGAGAAAGGGGAGGAGAGGGAGTGAGGGATGTACAAAGGGAAGGAGGGAGAGATTTATTTGTGTAGTGGTTAAGGCACCGCCTGGAAACCTAATTCAATCTTAGTGAGAAAGCCAGCTGGGTGATCTTGGGTTCGTTACTTCCTCTCAGTCTTAGAAAGAAGGCAATTGCAAACGATTCTAAAAATCTTGCTGAGGTAACTGAAGAACTTAGTCCAGGAAGGGAAAGATAGAAAGAGAGGTAATAATACGATAATGAAATATAGAATGATACATAATCTGTACTTAGTGGTAGCTGGGAAAAAAATATCTAGAGATCATCAAAATTATAGCTTAAATAAGCCTAATGATAACACATGGTTCTACCATGGAAAAGCAATGAATCAAAATTTTATGAAAATAGCATACATTGTCAAAATTATTTTCTACCAATCAAATAGTTATACATATACATATACATACACACATACACACATCTAACTGCTCCATTTCAGAGTAAGTAACACTGTACAAAGAATAAACAATAAGCCAAATGGATTAAATGAAATATAACCAAACTTGGTTACACCATTAGTATTCATATCTTATTTCTCTATACCTTTGTATCCTAGCCACCATCCTTGCTTGTACCGTTCAATATACCAGTTCATACATTCTGTCTCTTCTTTAAACCTCTCAACTCTCACTTTTGAGGATGCCATCAACTCCAACTAGCTATGGATTGTCTGTCTTCTATTTCTCTCAATCCATTCATTTCTCCATCATATGGTTGTTTGGAAGTTCTGCCGTCATTCTTTCTCTGCATATGACCAAGCTATCTTAACAGACTCATTTCATACCCAATCACTTGTTTTGCATTCAGACAGCATCCATTCATATTTTACTCAGCTTCTTATTTTGCCACACACACTGAAGCACACTATTCCCTTTTCTTTCAGTTTATGGCTTTCCCTACTGTATATAAACAATTATTCCGTTTCTCAGAGAACAACAAGGCCTCGATCATATATAAAATTAGATATATATTCAAGTCTGCAATCATCTAATGTCTGATCATCACCAATTTTCCCTATACACTTAATTATAAATGCATTTATTCCTTGTTCAGAGTTGAACCATTAACTAAGCATTCCATATACCACACTATAAGTAGCACAACTACTCCAGAAGCAAACAAATTTTAATGTTTCTTAACCTGCATCTGCAGCCTTACCATTTTTTAATATTCTCACAGCATTTAGAATTTCCTTCATTTATTTTTTTCTTAAACATTTGTTTGTTATTTGTTATGGCTTTACCCAGCAATGTACCACTATTGTTCCCTGATAACATATTGCTTTCAATGTTATTTCAGTTTCATCCAAAATGATTTCACCGTTTTTATTCTTGATTCCATTCACTCTACTGGAGGCTCCTTATTTAGACATTTCACCAAATTCCAAAACAATTTTCCTTCTACCAATATTGCTCAGCATTTTCATTGCTGCTTTAAATTTTGGTTCTAGTTCTCTTTCACTACATTCTTTGGAAGTACATTTTTCTTTCTATACACATTTTGCAATTGTCATTGTTATTTTTGCACCCATCATTTTTCTATCTATGTTCTTTTTTCCCTCATTGTCCACTTCATCTTCCAGCAGGAATCCTTTTTCCTACTATTGTGGCAGTCTGTAAGTTTTATTTTATTCTTTTTCAAGTAACTTCTACATGCTCTTTCCTTATGACTGCTTCCACTTATTGTGCTGTGATATTAATCTATTTTTCCTTTGTTCCTTGCAGATTTACACTTTCTCTTCTTGCAGTCTACTTTTATTCTAGATTCTTTAACATCTTTTCTTCTCTTAGATGTCAAATTTATGCAAAAATTATTCTGTTAGAACCTCTCGTCTTTGTATTTTTTATTAAGTCTTTAGTCTTTTATCATAAACTAAAATATACCATGCTTTTCAAAGCATTCCTTTTTCATCTGTAGATATCAACAGACAAAATTTAACCATGTATTCCAAGGACACTTTTTCTTAAGCCAATATACACCAAATCATCGGACATTCATTATTGTGTGTCAAAATATCCTAGTCATTTTTTCTTATTATGCATTCTTTTCTCATTCATTTCAGTTAACAAAAAACCCTTTTCCCCTTGGTTCAAATTCATTCAGAAAGTTGTACATTTCTCTTCCCTTCCCCATCCATTTACCCTTAATTTTTTTCCCACTTTTCATTATAATAATTCACTGGAATTTAATATGAAACTAACAGCAACCTATGGATTCTACCTTCACTCTCATCCACAATAATTATAGCTATTCATGTTTTCTGGCATATCTTTTAGTGCTTTTATTCATGGTTAATCCTCTACCTTCACTTCTCTGCTTGTATAGTATTTATTAACTTCATCTTTATTCAGCCCTATTGCACCTCTTCTTTTTCTTGATTTCACAGATAACATATATTTTTTAAAACAATCAATAATTTATTACTATCATCTTCTGTGGCATTGATAAAATTGAGGTTTTCAAATTTATTCCTTTTAATAAGACAGAAAGGGTATATACTAATCTTGATGATACCCATGCCATATACATTAGGGAATACCAGTCATTTTGCCTACAACTGGAATGAAAATACAGTCTTACCTCTTATAAATAAATCTATCTATGCAAGCTACAATCTTTATTCTAGATACTACTTGGAAGCCAACATATTGATGCTCACAGTTCTTTAACTATACGGAAGATATTGACATACATTCAGAATGGAGCACTTCTCATTCCATATAATGAATCTTCTAGAAATCTCTGAAAGCTTCTGCAAGTTATTGCAAAGTTTCATTGCAAATCTGACTGCAGATACTCCTTTTGCTTTCAGAAATACAAATCAGACAATTTGAGGAAAGGCAGAATTGAAAGACGGCAATTAAGATTATTTCACAGAACTGCTTGATTGAATGAATCCTATGCTTTGGATCTTGGATTCCTCTGGCAAAACAATTTGCAGTTTAAGAGATGGGGGGGGGGGGGAATCACTACTTTCTGTTTTTAATAAAAGACGATGTTCAAAGGATAAAAGAAGAGCAGGACCTGAAATACATTTTTTCTTAGTAGAATGTTTTCTTGAGATGATGTTAAAACAAGCATATTTCCACTTCATTTGTGGGGAATATTATTTCATTTACTGAAAACACATTCATATAGTTGACTGTGATGCTGACAAGATCTACATATACAAAACAAATATGGTATAATGATGTGACTAATACATAGTGAACATTTCAATTGTTTTCCTTCTGCGTGATCATAATTCTCCCAGCATAAAAATGTATATTGCACTCCATCAATGATTACTACCCAGATAAAATCATAGTACACTTAAACTTGCTTCAATGGACCATGCTTTAACAGGTGTAGGATTCTATGGTCATGTTTTTCATGTGGCTCCCAATTCCACTAAAAGATGTTTAAATTGACAGTCTGCTTGTTAAATGGACGTTTTACTGCAAATGATGCTTTTTATACCAATTATGTGATTATGTAAATGACTTACATTTGTAGTTAATGGACAACTGGAATTAATGGATATCCCCTCCTTCTCAATGGTTCATTGTATCAGAATGTTACTGTAGGCTTCTGTTTTGCTTTTGTTTTTTAAAATTCCAGCCACCAGATCATCTCTTAGATAGCTGCAACAGCCTAGATAACTATCTCATCTTATACTACTTGCCCAGAATTTGCAACTATCATTGGAAATTTCTATTGTCATGATTCAGCCTGGCATAATTTCAAATCTAAAATCTTCTCTTATTCTAGAATTGGCACCACTTAGCCAGTGTAGATACTTTATTGCAGAGAAGAATGAAGCCAACTACAACAAAACACCTCCTTGCTGCAGCAGGGAGAGATCACAGCCTATATATGCCTGTGCTGCAGGGATTAAATGTGAAGCTTTTTCCTCCTGTCTTTCCAAGTTAATGGTTCTTTGGCTGTTGTCTTCAAGGTCATAAAAAAAACCCTGATAATTGTTCACATAATGATCATCACCAACCTAAGAAGTTTTGGACCCATAATACCAGCTTTATTTCTAACATCTGTGCATCCAGGATTTCAAAGTTGTTAGGAACGCTGCAGTTATAAAATCACTTCCTAGATTGGGTTCACAATACTTCCTTTATTATGCTTCATTAGGCATCATAATTGTGGGTTTTCAAAAAGACTTTTCCTGTAATGAAAGCTTTGGCTTCTATTTTTATAGTTTTATTTTGCTTTATTGCTTTATTTATTTTTTGTCTCACATTATATATCACCATGAGTGGGATGATTTATAACTATATCAGTTAACTAAATAAAATAAATATTTATAAATAGCCAGTTAACTAAATTAAATCACTCAGTATAAATGCAAAGCACAGATTAAATTCTAAAAAAAGAAGCATCTATTTTCTGAAGAACAAACATTTTTTCCTATTTCCAATATATTAAAAATTTGGCATTTTAATTTTAATATATTATTGCATAACTTTACAATATTTCTAAAGTCTATCATTATAAATACTAAAATATCTTCCTCTGAAATTATTAAAATTTACACTTACCAGGTGTGAAATTGTACTGTGCAGAAAATCCTACAGATTCAAGTTCACCATCAGCAAAAAATTTAATCCACAAGAATCTGCCACTGGATTTTATTTTAGGTGGATTTTGCTGTCCACAGAAACGACCAATTATTGGAGAAAATCCAAAAGGTCCATCTCGCACTTCAATATGATCAAATTTACACTCCCAAGAAGGCTCTATGGAATATTTCTCATCAAAGTGCAATTCAATACATTGTCTTGGGGCAGCTGAAAAATAAAACAAAGCCTTTCCATAATTTTATGCACTGAAATATATTTGCTTCCAAATGTGCTGTTTCTAAACTTATGTATCACCGTATTTTATGGGGCTTGAGGTTTTGCTTAGGCAAATAACTTAAGTCTACTCAGAGCTATTATTTCTAAGCATAAACAGAAGGCTTTTCAATAATAATATCAGTTGGCTTTCCTGCTAATTTTTTTTTTTTTTTGAACTGTTAGATTCTGTATTGTAGGACATGTACAATAGGTAACAGAATGGCCTGGTTGCTAAAAAAAATGTGCATAGGCACTCAAGTCTTCCTTTGCTTCTTCTTTTCCTGCAATTATTTTTTCTTTAAAGAGCAAAGCAAAGTAAATGTTAGCAAAGCACCACCGTTTATGTATATCTGTTTATTTGTAATGGCTGGTCTAAGTAGCAACTACATTCAGCAACGTTAATGTGATTAGCTATGTTTATTTTTCTGTTGTAGCAGTAGAGTCCTAGGGTTTGTGAATCTTTTAGAACTACCTTTAGTCTTGCAATACTATGACCTTCAGTGTGATTTTGAGCCTCATCTAAATCTTATTCACGCATAAGAAATTCTGGTTAAACAAACAAGACACAAAACTATCCATTAAGGTGTCATGTCTTCACTAAATTTCAAGTAGTTCTAAATGGTTCATAAACTCTGTTCTTTCCATGTAAGTATATATTACCACCATAGTACAGCACTATTTTGTCAAATTCTGCTGAAATTTCCCAACTTACAGAATTTTCAGCATATTTTTCTGATTTATTAAACAGCATAAGAATTGAAATCCTGTTCTATGAAGGAAAAGTAGAAGTAATCTTGAAAGAAAACTCAAATACTAGTTCTTTAGCTGTTTTTAAAATTTGTAGCTCAAATATAGCTGCCTAATGAGTTTGCTTTCACAAATTTGCATGCTTTCAATGTTTAACCAAATGGAAACATTAAAAGTGATTAAAGAGATGTTAACTTAGTAACATTGTGGATTAGACTTATGCACTATTTCTGCTGCGGACTTGTAGAGAGAATTCTTCTCTTTATCTAAAGCTCAATGTAAAAAAGCAACATCTATTTTTGAACTGGCTGCATCCTATTCCCACATACAGGTTACATCTGTCATTTGTCAAATGCGGAAGCCAAAACCAGATTACATTCTTTATGATCTGGCTTTTGCAATGTATTTGGTAATGAAAAACAAAGCAAAGGCACTGACATTTTGAGTCACTAATGAATCACGCAAATGTGCTTGCTAACAATGGAAGAATGTTCATACAATGGAAGATGTCCATATATGGAAATGCCATTTGTTCTCCTCATTCTCCTGCTTCCCTTTGTGACCCATTTGTTCTTGAGAATTAGGGAATCTCTAGAACAGCAAGGTACAGTAGGTATCATTGGGAATCACAGCAGGATGTGGAAGCTACATACTAGTTTCATACCAGCTTAAGTGTTCTGGTTTGTTCAGGAACAACTTCAGCCAATGGAAACAAAGTTTGCACTTAGTACTTCAAATTAAAATTTTAATTTTTAATTTTAATTTCCAGGATTGTATCTCTGACTAGCTAAGCTAGTGTACAGAGATTGTATCTCTGACTGCACATGCTAGTGTTCATTGAACAGGCAAGCACAGAGCTACATTCTAGAAATGTTAACTATCAAAGTATTTCAACTTTCATGTGTAGAATCTGTTCAATTAATAAACTGGACTTCTGGATAAACAAAACAGATTGAATTACTGTGAAACACTAAACCTTACAAGCTCTTGGCCAAGGAATAGGTTTGCACATCAAATTAAAAGCAAGGGACAGGCAATATTAGATTTGTTCTAGAAAGCTTTCCCTTTGTCAAACAAATCTGGATTTTTTAAAAAAAAAGTCACAAAAAGGATGTCTATTTTAATGAAAACAATCATTTTTCTTCTTTGTATGCAAAATAATACTAGGCTCAAAATAATTATGTGATAATTAATGCAAGTCTTCAATAGTTGATTGCAACAAAGTTGACATTCAGTGCTGTTTGGTGATTATGCTGATTGTGCAGTTCAGATATAGTAGCCTATCCCAAAAAATCTTGCTAGGTTTTACTCCCTGACCTTTCCTAATGTCATCTCTAGCTCCCAAGAGCTATTTTACACCCTGAAGGAGAATCACTGCAGATATTTGCACTCATCTGTAATATGGGCCAGTATATACAAACACACACCTACACCAACACTTATCTATTCATATTTATTCATCCATTCCACTGGCCATATTGCAAGTGTCATCTCAGAAAAAATATGGGATAGTTTCTTCTTTCTTTATCTCTCCAGCAATAGTAAAAGCAAATATGCAAAAAAATGTTGCCAACTACAGTGGTCGTGGGTCACAGCTGTTCTGCAATGAGTTTTTACTACTTGAACTCTTAGCAATCTTTTTAATTTAGGTTCTAATTACCTTTCTTCAAAGAGTCCTAATAACATGGAAAAGATTGCTTAATGCCGGCATGTCTTGTCATCTTTTTCATCTAATTATCTTATAGAAGTGCTGCCTTGAGGTTTTACATCTGCTTAAAAAGACTTGGGGTTCTAACAAGAAGCAGAGGAATAGAGGCAATGAAAGAGGCCCATACAATTAAGGCTTTAATTCTTACCAGCCTGTAATTTCATGTAGCTGACAGCTGAAGCTAAGCAAAAAAAAAATCTATTTCATTTTAACAGAATGTCTGGAAATGAAAGATTGATCTAAACATCTTTTCTGCGTAACTGGGAGCCAATATCACACAAATGGACTGGAATAATCTTTGATAACTCCCATTAGTTAGCAGCAAGCAGCCTAATAAAAGGAATTTGGAATTTAAAATACTTCATTGCCAAATCAATCTTAAAATCTAAAACAGCAATAAAAATCCATTTTGATACAATTTAGATTAGCTACAATGGACAGAATTAAATTCTTTTTTTTTTTGCAACAGTCTGAAGTTAGAACCCAAGCTCTTTGACTTTTTAATGTATTCTAAGCAAATATTAAATTCTTATTTAGCATTACATGTGGGTATTAAAAAAAATTATACAGACTGCTACTCAACTTTGAAGTGGATAACAATGAAAGGTTAAAGTATAGGAAATAAAATTAGGAGCTAAATTGAGGAAAAGATTTTTTTTTTCACTCTTTCAGGAGCCATACTTTCTTTGTTCCCAACATATAAAAAAGCATCCTAGATCAAGTTATTTCTTCATATTACACAGGAGAACTTTTTTTAGAATGTATGATGTTATTGTAACATACTGTTGTCTTTAAATAGATATGACTGAGAACAAAACAATAAATCACCACCAATATTTCAGCTATGACTTTTAAAATTATTATTACTTTTTTAATTCTACATTTATTATTTTATAAGTAACTCAATCTGGCAAACATACTTAACACTCCTCTCTCATCCTATTTTCCCCACAACAACTCAGCAAGGATTGAGAGTGAGTAACTAGCCCAAAGTCACCCAGCCAGCTTTCTGGCTAAGGTGGAACTAGAACTCACAGCTTCAGAGCAGAAGATTAATGTATTTGCTATAAAGGGCTGAAATTCTTTAGCTGAAATTGTTCAAGCCCAACCGCAGAAATAAAGAATCCAGTACTATAAAAAGGTGGATCCTAACACTTTGTGAAAAATGTAATTTATGAATTACAACCACAATGGAGAGGATTTGTCCAATATACTTTGGAACAAGTTCATGTCTTTTTCAAATAGTCAAGATATCTACTACCTAAAGAAATTCAGAAGCTCTGCCAATAAAAAATAAAAATAACTATACCTTCAATGTTACTATATGGATAATGTAACTGACTATACCCTACAGGTAGTCCTTGACTTACAACCAACATTTAGTGACCATTTAGTGACCATGGTACTGTAACATGTAACACAAAAAGTGACTTATGATCGGTTTTCACATTTACGACATTGCAGCATTCCTACAATCACGTGTTCAAAATTTGGGCACTTGGCAACTGGCATGTATTTATGACAGTTGCACTGCCATGTGGTCATGTGATCACCATTTGTAACCTTCCCAGTTGGTTTCCAACAAGCAAATTCAATGGGGAAAGCCAGATTTGCTTAACAATTGCAGTAACTCACATAACTATGGCAAAAGGGCGTAAAATGGGGCACATCTTACTTAACAACTCTCTTGTTAGCAACAGAAATTTTGGGCTCAAAGTTTGGGCTCAAGGACTACCTATAATAATTTTCAAATATATTACTTTTTTGAAAAAAAATGTAATTGAACAACAGGAGCCAAAATATTCTTTGTTTCAAAAAGGTTTGTTTCTCCCTTTATATGGGAGAAGAATGAAGGAGTATTATCATTTAAGCAGATAATTTTATATACTATATATGCATTTAGATTAACAAACCTCCATCATGATGTCAACAAATGTAAAAGAATAAGTACTATAAAAACATGATTTTCTGATAATTATATGTAGATTCCAATCTATCAGGGGCCTCTATTTTGTAATGATATCAGTATAAGGAGTATAAAATATCACATTTTAAAAAATAATTTAAATGTTTTAGCAACCCTGGAACTATCTAATGCAGGGGTAGTCAACCTTGGCTCTTTTATGACTCGTGGACTTCAACTCCCAGAATTCCTGAGCCAGCATGGCTGGCTCAGGAATTCTGGGAGTTGAAGTCCACGAGTCATAAAAGAGCCAAGGTTGACTACCTCTGATCTAATGTGAACATCATAAAAACACATTTCTTACAAAGAATTTTGGCTGCAACTTCCTGTTGATACACTTTGTAACTGACCTGGATTTGCTGCAAACAATTCTGAAATATTGCCAAAAGTCTAACCATATTATGAAACATCCCATTTCTTATAACTCAAAAAAGACTACAAAAATTAGAGTGATGTGCAACAGCATTAATCTTATTGTCAAATTACTGAGTCTAAAAATGGAAGAGAATGCTTTCTATTTAATTATCAGCTTGCAAGCTTCTGCGGACTCTTTCGGAAACGTATCAATTTTTTATGAATACAAAGTTTTCTTTCTTCACTTCCATTTTCTTCACAACTCAGGTATTAGCAAATAAGTCTTGCAATTTCACCCCCAGCAGCAAGGAGAGGAGTAAAGAAATATACTGGATGGTAGCCTAACCTTCTGAAAAGTAACTCTCAAAATAAAATCTTATTTTCTAAGACTAAATGAAGGGTATTACAGAGACTTTGCCTTTGATATGGCACAAACGACTGGGAGATCAAAGCCAACATGTGCATGCAAAAGTAAACAATTCCTCTGAATAGAAGATGCTAACCTGTCACAGTACAGCACTTCAAGATCTATGATTGTATCAATAGTTTTTCTGACCTGAAGTCCCTAGTGCTTTTAGCAGAGGAAGATAAACTGAAAAAAGAGCCAAAAGCTTTCTTATGTAGCTCTTTCCTTATGATATGATTTATTTATTAGATGTTTATCCAGCCTTTAATGTTGATCAAATTGGTATACCTAATAGAGCTCTTGGTGCTGAGTTTGGTTGTGTTTGCTTACAGATATTTCATGACCCAACAAGGCAACATCACCAGTACAAGTAAGCTGGTCATGTCTGCAAGCGATCAATCAACCCCAGGAAGCGTCAAGAACTCCACTGTGCTATATATACTCTCCTCTATTGGAATTGCTTAATGTCCCTGTCCCAAACTTTTCCCCACAATTTTCCCCACAACAAAACAGTGATTGGCTCAAAGTCACCCAACTGGTTTTCATTCTACGGGAGGACTAGAATTCACAGACACCTCCCCCCCAGGTCTAAAGTGCAGCATCTAAGCCACTACATCAAGCTGGCTCTATGTTCAAATATGAGGGTGCTACTAGTGCACTGGAAAAACAAGACAGAAGCAGCCATAGAACATAGTGATATCCCTCTCAAAAAATGAATGTTTATACATTTTTACTAGATAAAGCTCATTTTGAAATGGTTAAGTTTAATAATCATTGCCAAAGGTACAACAATGGAAAAAGAGAGAGAGAGAAAGGAATGTATTAGATTACCTTCTATAATATAGACACATTCTCTGTCAGGAGGATATTTGTTGGGATAATTCGGGGAAGTGAAAATACCTCCTTCTGTGTATTTTGTCCACACTCCACACTGAACTGTCTTCTGTCCTTCTGAACTGCTTTGCTTTTCTGGAAAAGAAGGGGAAAAAGGGAAGATGAGATCATGCTTTGGCTTAAATACATAATGTGCAATCACTTGCTTTCACCTGTAGCCTGCTATAACCTCCTACTTATAGCATAGGGTCAGGATCTGAGTTTATTAATCCAACCCAGGGGTAGTCAACCTTGGCTCTTTTATGACTCGTGGACTTCAATTCCCAGAATTCCTGAGCCAGCTTAGCTGGCTCAGGAATTCTGGGAGTTAAAGTCCACGAGTCATAAAAGAGCCAAGGTTGACTACCCCTGATCCAACCCCAAAGATGAGATCTTCTTTTTCCATAGTTACACCAGAGAGAGGAAATTCCAAACCTAAACTTTTGGAAATGCTTTGAGACATTAAACCAGAGTTCGACAGTAGAGCCTGATAGGGCAGTCAAAATTATACTGACTACCACAAAGGGCATTTCAAAGGAATTTGAGGTATTTGGTTCTCTCCGAGCTTGGTTGTTTTCTTGCAGATGTTTCATTACAAAACTAGGTAGTATCATCAGTGCTAGCACAGTGCCTACCACTGATGATATGACCTAGTTTGGTAATGAAACATCTCAAGAAAACCACCAAGCTCAGAGAGCACCAAGGACCCCACAGCTTAACAAATATTTTCTTCTATCAGCTATCAAGAAATACAAGATATCAAACAGAATTTTAAAACAATAATAACAATGATAGAATCTGCAAGAATAAAGGATAGGATGCTATATAGTTATAGCCTTATTTTTTTTTTTGCCTGAAAACAGTAGTGTGCATGTATAACAGGTGCAAAGTTATGGTATTTCTTGAAAAAAAATCAATTTGAAGCAGCAGTTACTAATACTCTCACATATAACAAAGTATCAAGGGTTCATCATACTCCAGAAACTGGAACCATTGCATGTTAAAGAAGGAATTGCATTATAATTAAAAAAATATCTCTACCTATATAAAATTGCCCCAAATGGCATGGCAACACTGCTGAAAGGATCTGATCTGATTACCAACCATCCAATCAGGAAAAGCTATGGATGACATTTTCCAAAATCAAATGAGAGAATGTTGTAATGGTAATGAGATTTAATCACAATGTTATCTGGTAAGATGCAATTGCTACAGATGGATTTCCAGGAAAATCCTGTTTGATTTTGGTTACAAGATATAAAAAGAAAAAAGCAATTGGATTTCTTTGATTTGATGTAATATGATTTAACCAATAGGGAAAAAAAGTTAGTAATATGAAAGGATTTATTGGGGGAGGCAACCGTATGATGGTGGAGCATCTGACTTAAGAAATATAAAATGAAGTGAAAAACATAGTCCTTGGGCTGCAGGGAAAGGTGATTTGAATAAATTCAGAAAAAAAAATGATAATAGACTGTTCTTGCATGAAAAATTAATAGAATAAAAGTTTGATATTAATGGAAGTTTCTAAAAAAGGAAGTATTAAATATGCAATCATAAAAAATTCCAATTAAAGAGGAAAGGGGGAAATAAAGGAAGTCCATGCAGCTGCACAAAAAGCTTATAAGCAATCAAAAAAAGAATGAGAAAGGACACACATAGAAGGGGAAAGAAAGAGTAATTATGAAAGAAAGGCAGAGACAAGAATTGCTAAGATTAAAAGTGATGGTCAGAAAAAGTTGTCTTTACATATATGCAATTTAAAAAGGAGCAGAAAACTGATTGTGTAAGAAATTGACAAATTGTTCAGAGGTAATGTATTTTTTCTCTCTCAGAAAAGGATCTGTTTCCATTAAGCAAGCATGAGGTGATTGACAGAGAAAATTTTAGGGAGTATCTAAGAACTTTTGAATAAGTTCATTTCTTTTGTTCCAAATGAATGACATCCTAGGCGCTAAAGGAAGCTGCTCATAGATTCTCAGATTGCATTTTGTATTTAGGAAAACCTGCAAAACATGAAATGCCAGAAGACAAAAAAGGAAAAAGAAATTATCCCTGTCTTCAAAAAGACTGAAAGAGAAGATCCAGGAAATGGGTAGATCTGTATATCTGATGTCAGTATGCTGGAAAACTCCACGGCAGGTAAAAAAATTCAATTCCTAAAAATCCTACAGGAAACATGGGTTGTCAAAAAGAACTCCTTCCAGGTTAATTACAGTTAATCATGGGAAAGCTGTGGACATATCTTAAATACAGTAAAACATTTTATAACATACTTAACAATATTCTGACTAGTAATCTAGTTAACTCTGTTAGGTGTGGCAGTAGTACTAGATAAATACACATAGGAAAAGAAACTATTCAAAATATGCTCAGGCAATAAGTAATGAAGGTAATTCATCCCTCCTTGTTCTAGCTCGTATCTATAGACAGGAAAGGACGATGAGTTTACTTACTTTCAAGTTTTATACAAGTGGTCCTTTAGTTACAACCTATTCAGCCACCATTCAAACTTGTGACGGCACTGACCACAAGGTAGACTTATGGCATATCCTTGAAGTTCTGGCTGTCGGCAACATCCCCAAATTATGTAAATTGTGATCTGAGCCTTCTGCACCTAGCTTGTGGTTATGTCTCAGTTTCTGACATTACCTGCCAGCTTCCCACAAGCAAAGCCAATACAGAAGCTGGCAGGAAATCAAAAATTGTGTCCACATGTGGGCCTTAATAAGCCATGAAGTCCTTGCTTAATGATGGCAACAGAATGCTGGGACTGCTGTCTCTAGTGGGTGAAGTCATGTGATTCACACTTTACTAATGGATCAATTAGCAACAGCAGTCCTAGTTCTAATTGCTGTTGCATTCTGAGGACTATCTATAGCTATTTACCTTTTAAATATTTAAGTATTTACCTTTCTTTTTTTCTTTGGGCTGAGGTAGAAATTTGACTAGCTATATTTAATAGATCTATGATTTATATTTAATCAGAATTACATTATTTAGGATTCTAAATGTTCTAAAATAGTATCAAACATGAAAATTATTTTTTCTATTATTTGTTAAGAAAGCTTCATATTTGTATGTTTGTAATTTTTAATTCTGTCAGAATCATTTTTCAGCAATCCTATCTTTAGGAATCTACTTTTTAGATGAGCTGATATGGGATATTGGTTATACAGTAATCACATTTAAAGTTGGCTGAGTTCACTTCTCACATTAATCCAGAATATGGTACGTTTTGTTTTAATTGTGCATTGTAAACCCAGACTTTGCAAAGTAGGCTTTATAGTTGAGCATATGTTCTAATCTAAACCAATCAATTGTTTCCTCCATAAACTTTTGTGGAACAAGATTTGGCTCAGTGAAATTTGTGAATCAGACCAGAAAATTCTTGTTACTATTACTTTATATTCCAGTCAACTACTAATATCATTTTTTTTAAAAAAGTTATCTGTGAGTTATGAATTCCATTTGTATTCTCTGCCAGAAAGGAACCGTTGAGATGTAATGCTTGTTTTGCATTTGAAAGTAGCAGCAGCACCTGTTCATTCATATTTCCAAGCCAAGAAGCATAAATGTTTGCAATGTCACCAATCCATCTTTTTTACAGAAATGTCTGCAAGCAAATAACCAAGCTCAGACAGTACCAAGGACTCCAGAGTTCAACCATAAGCTACAAATATTCTCTTCTCTTTGTACTAGATCACTTTATTTCTTCTGAGCTTGAAATTCATTGATTCCATAAATGTAACCATACGTTTCTAAGTTTACCAACTTCATATAATTGTTGGTCAGGATGTGACTGAAATGATACTCTTATTTTAGGATCCAATTTGTAGAATTTTATTTTACCTGTTTTGGCCTCCTGATTCAAACAGAAACATGCTAGACCTGCAGCTGCATTGGAATTCAGAAAATTTATTCATTAATTTTTGGTTAACATAGTTCAGTGCTGGTCTATAGTTGGAAATAAGATATGTGTTTTCAATATTAATTGTCATAGCCTGCTTTAAACCTGTTCAGCACACTAAGCACTACAATCCCCCCATTACTAAATTGTTTGACAAAAATGTAAATCATTTTAAGTTTTAATCATTTGTAAACAAAATCAGCTCATAGGAATATTTTCTTCTAAAAACATACCTGCTCCTTTTTTTGTTGCCCCAGCCCAGTGTAGGATGATAAAACTTGCTACAACTGGAAAATAAAAACATATTAGTTGAAATGACAAATTAGTTAGGACAACCCTATCCTTAATCTTAATCCAAAGTAGAAAATGCTAAAGAAAGAACAAACTGTATTTGTTGTGTGGCTGCAACTTATTTTCATAAGAACATAGTAATCCTAAACAGAGTGGCTACATAATCATAGTAAAAGCTACTGTAGATAGCAACAGGAATAAATAGACTTATCTTTTAAGTGTGAGACATTTTGATTTATGACTGGCTCAGAATTCAGTAAGAGAAACACTGAGGTGAGACCATTTAAATACTGCATACAGCCAGACCTGCAATCCTATGCTACTTTCATAGCATAAGTCTCAGGAAAATCAATGGAACTTACTTCTGCATAAAACTACACTGCAGATTTGAAAAAAACAAAAACTGGACGATACTTTATGAGCTTTTGGTATTAACTATGTCAGTTATGTGCACACAGATAGACCTGGATCTAGGAAATAATCAACACTTCACTATAGGGATGGGAGATAACAGCTGCTCTGAAAAAGGTAATGGTTTACTTTCTTCCCAAGAAGCTTGCCCTGGACTCAGTGAATTAGGACCACTACCATCCCTTCTCTAATCTCCCTTTGGGAGAAGATTGTAAGAAGTAGGTGGAGCAACAGTTACAGAGAACTCTGGAAGAAATGGGTTGTCTGGACCCCATGAAGTTTAAATCCAGGCTGTTATGGAAATGATTCACTATGGCAAATCTTGGATGATGTCCCCATCCAATATCACAATATTTGTCCTGCTGAAAATCTGAGTGGCCATCCATGGTAGCCTTCTAGGCTATCAGCAATAGCTAGCAGTAGGAAGACACCATTTTACTTAAAAGTAGTTCCACTCTAGAAAAGCTGAGAAAGAAGAGATTGTCCCACTTCAGTATAGAATTAATTGTCTCTTCCATTTTATTCAACATTTGCTTTATATTAGACTGTCCTATTAGACAAATGATGGAAAATTCAGCTGGTACAGAATTCAGCTTTCCACTAGATACAATCCATAATTACCTCTACTGCAAATAACTATGACTTGGAGTTGCAATCTAATAACTGGTGTCTTAACACTGAGCTTTCCAAACTAGAACGTTAACAATTGATTTAAAATCTTAATACAGATTTCAGTAAATCATACTCTCCAGTGTTATCTGTCTTTAATACTGTTTAAAAACACACAACTATTTTTAGCTAGTTTGGCCACTATTTAATGACAAAACATTTATGAATATCTGGGAAGATACCTCAAGCCCTTCAAAATCCACTACTTGGCACAATCTAAACAGCCAGCTATGTTGAAGATCCAGTGTGACACGGTCTGTTAGGCATGTATGTTGTTTCATTCATATTACTGTTCGCAAGTGATAACAATTCTACATATCTGATCATTCATACAAAGTATTTATTATATAATTTCCTACAATCAAAATTTGTAACAATCCTGTGAATGGATTAACTCTTTCTCTGGTTTACATTTTGGTATTTCTTCAAGGTCATCCAATTAATGGATTTAATAAACAGTCACTTGAATTCTGTTTCATCCAGCTAGTAGGCTTTTGAATACAATTAATAAATGCCTGTCTTAAAAGTTTCTGTGCGTTCCATGTTTTTCAGGCATCAAAAACATTATGTTATATACTTACACTGGAATCAAGCTGGGTATTTAGAAAATTAAGTAAATAATAATAATGAACCTACTTTTCTAACATCTAGAGTCCACTGACATGTTACATCTCAGACGTGCCTTCACTGAGCATAATTTTGCCTTTCCCCATTTATCAGCTGTGCCAATGTGTACAAATACAAAATATGGTATATGCTGCTAAAGTTCAAAACTTATCTCATATGTTCTGTACATCTTAGGATCATAGCATATTTTGTTCTTGACCCATGTAAGCTACTTAAAAGCATCAGGAAATCCTAGAGAAAATGTTCAGAATTCCTTCCCCTTTATATCCACTAGTGGCTTCATAGAATTAGCTGCCCATAACTACTGGGAAGTTAAGTGCATCGTTTATTAATTTTCCTCAGTTACAATCTTAGAATCCCATTACCATTTTTTCCTATACCTTCCTCTCAAGATATCTTGCAACAGATCAGAAGCATTATTTAAAAGTCCTAGGAACTGCTAAGAAAAAGAAGGATAAGCAATGTATTTTCTATTGTTTTATATCCGGTATGGCCATAGTAGGTACTCCACTAATTTCATTGCCATTTACAAATATTAATCATTGGAAACTTTTTATACTGATTAACTTTCTACAAATAGTAGTTATAAATATGGCTTAGTTGTAACTTAATGGTACCATAAAACTTACAAATTTCTCCATTTGTTATATTAGAAGATATATAAATCACTGAGAAGAAGGGGTCAATCTATTCTCCACAAAGCACCTGACAACTGACAGGACAAGTACTAGATGGAAAATTGACAAGGAGAGAAGCAACCTAGAACTAAGGAGAAATTTCCTGTCAGTGAGAACAATTAATCAGTGGAATGGTTTGCCTTCAGAAGTTGTGAGGGCTTCATCACTGGAAGTGTTTAAGAAGAGAAGGACAGCCATTTATCTGGAATGGTATAGTCTCTTCCTTGGGCAGGGGGTTGGACACCTCCAACATCCCTTCCAACTCTGTTTCAAAGTTATGTTGTTTTGGTTCTGAAGAAGTCCTGAGGCCTTATTCCCTCAACTATCTTCTCTTGACATATTCCCTCAAGCCACTGTGGATACTTTTAGAATTCTAGCAACTTCTTTCTTACTATTTTACAATCTAAAGCTTCACATTTTCTTGTCTTCCCATAGTTACCATAACCGATGGAGTAGTTTTCTACTTTAAAACAGACTTAGTTTATGCATAGTTAATTCTGGTCCACATATGGTCCTCAATAACCTCTGCTATTACTTATTATCTCTTGTTATTATATTATCCTCCTCTTAAAATGCTGGAATCAAAGCATTCTGTCATGCACAGTTCTTGTGATTTTAATTCCGTTTCATAATCCTACACCGATATTGTAGGGATTATAAAAAGATAATAAACTTATGCAGATAAGAAATACCAGTACACGGGTATGGCTTCCAGCCTGTTGCCAAATGTGGCTTTGGGAATAAAAGTATTCTAGGATTGAAACAATGTATGAATAAGCTAGAGAACTAATCAGTATTGTGACTAATCTTGGATGGGAACACCAGAGTTCTAAAACCTGTTTCCCCATAGTGGTCACTTGTAGACCTTGAACCCTGACCTTGTGAGTTTTGAACTCTGAAGCCCACCCAACTTCAAACTAGTCCTTGAGCTTTTAGCCTCATATTGTGGAATTTTCCATGTGTGCCCAAGTCAGTGAACATAGTTCTATTAGTTGTCAAAGAACTTTAGTTGAGAGAACATGATATTCTGAGTTAAATATTGTTTATTTTATATTTCATAATACCAACATAACCCACTTTTCTTTGAAAGAAAAGTTTTGTTTTGGAAGTCAGTAATATATTCTGAAAAAAACACCACTGTATAATAAATTGATTGAACAAAAAGGTGTCAAAAATATATTTAATATGAAATACTGTAAGGCAAAAGTCTGCTATTAGCTAAATGCATTATTCATCTTGGATTTCCAAAACACTTTAAAGAAATTTCCGGGTTTTGAAATCGTTATCAGTACATTTAAGAAGCAGAGGAAAGAGAAAAATTGTGTATTTAGACAGAGGCCATGGGGCAGGGAATATACTTCAAGTCTACTGTTGTCATTTTATTTTCTTGTTCCTGAACAATAGCTGCCACCATACTAAGCATTTAAATTTTATTTTTAAATAGGCAAACTGAGCATGTATTTCAACAATTCCAAAACCAGAAAGAAAAAAAATATGATTTATATAGTGTTCTTTCAAACACAGATTTTGACATTTATTCTATGAATTGGGGAACTTCAGAGAACTTTCTGTAGTACCAATTAAAAGCCATTGAGCTTTCCTACGCCCTTCTGCTTCTCTCTCCTTAATGAATGATTTGTGGCAGGAAGGAAGATGAGGTGAGAAAGCAAAGAAGGTCATAAACAAAATTCTATAAATATAATCCAGCACCTTGTCTGGAAACATCCTTGTTGATACTCAAGCTACCTTCTGAAAAAAATCATAAACAATATTAAAATATGTATCCCTCTTTACTAAAGTAGGAAACCTGTGGTCAGTTATTCGTGCCTAACTCCATTCACTGATAAGAATCAAATTGTAGGCCATGTAGTCAACCTGTTACATTCTTAATGTTTTGAAATCTCAACAGCAATAAGCATCATGGATTTGTAGCTCAAAACATCCAGAGAATCTGTTTACTCCTTTCACAGATATTTAAATGAAGGTTTGTGTTTGTGTAATGAAAGTTGATTCAGTGTATATACATGACATAAGATTTGTTTAGATGTTTGTAAGAGAAACTGGTGAGTAGTTTGCTATTGAATCATGTACTGTATATCTTAATCATACTATGCTATTCTTTGCAGGTTTACTTTGCAGAATGTTCTACCATGTTTGTTCCAAAGTGTTAACAGAATTTAACCCCAAATTTGTGAATTAGAATTATTGAAATAACTACACTAATTCAAGGCCAGGAAGATATCCCTAAGCTTCATCTACTTCTGAAAAAATAGGTATAGTAATAACCAATACACTTTGGATGACTATTGATATGATGTAAATTAAAAGATATGGACACACCCCATTAAATTTAATGGCAGAATTATTTAATTTTAATCAAATAGGCTTAATATTGTTTAATATATGAATCTATTTGCACATTATTGAAGAAATTATGAATCCTATTAGCTACTGAGCACTTGAATATTATTAACCATATGGTTCTAACTACAGATAACTTTTTAACTTAATTTTCACTTGACTAGAAATGAATTAATGCTAAATCCCTTTTCCTTTCATCTGATTATTTTCTATGGCCTCCATCAAATAAAGTTATACAGAAAAGGAGAAAATTAACATCTTGCCTACCATCCTGACTCAAAAAATCCATTCACTATGCTTTGAAAGCAGTTTTCTTTTAAAGAATAGTACTGTGTCCATTTTCACATCCCATTCCCTTTAAGCTTTTTGATTCACATCTTCCTTCAATAATGCTGTCTGTACTGTATTCAGTGAGAACAGAAAAAATAAGTTGAAAACAAATTTAATTTTATCTAGGGGTCCATCATTGACACTTCAAAAAAAATCTTTTTAGTAAAAAAATTAAATCAAGTATTAAAGACAGTTTTGTACCATGTTTGCTGAGATACCTATTGAACATATTTAAATTCATTATTTAACCTGGGTTATAAAGATGTTATTTCTGAATTTGTTCAGTAAATTGTTATTGAATTGGACATAAAAGTACCATTAAATGAAAAATTTCTCCCACTTCCACTAGCATGTCAAAGCATCCAGATTAGTAAAGGATTATACCATAGGACATGAGAATTTTAAATACTGAAAGAAACCTAAGAAAAACTGTAACTTTAGAATTGAGAGTAATCACGATCCAGTTACTTAAATGTAATAAGGAGCTTCTTGAAGGAGGAAGAAAAGAAGTACTCAAATCCAGCACTTTTGTTTTAATCCTGAATAATGGCAGTAATTGATGAGTTTGGATTAATTTAGACAGCTGGCTCCAGGGATGGATATTTACCATTCATTTGGTTAAAATCTCACCCTCACGCCTACCTGGGAGTCAATCAACATACAGAAATGAAGATGGGGGGGAAGGACCAGAGCCATTCTGCTTTTCATCCTGGTTACACAGAAGTAAGTTCCAGTGAATTTCAGAGATAAGGTATTCCCAACGAGGGCAAGGAAATGGGCTGAATCAGCCCCTACTCCTACTCGGAATTGGCCAAATTCCAGAATGCACCGACTTTTGCGCGGTTTAAAGCCTCCGTTAGCTTAACTGCACAAGGGGGCCAAAAAAAAAAAAAAAAAAAAGTGAAAAGGGAGTTTTGGTGGGCAACGTCTCCCAGCCCCACCCGCTCCCTTCCTCCTTCCGCAAACGGGTTTTGGGGCAGATTTGCCTCCGGCGCTGGATTCTTCTAGATCGCAACCCGGATCTAGAGCCAGGAGTTCCCCTCACGGTTAGTTCAAGGTTTCAGGGCGTCCAGCCCCTCGATTCGCGATTCCGTGGGGACGATGAGTGGGGGTGTGTGGGGGGGGGGAGAGATAGGAGCGTCTGAAGCGGTAGCAGGGGAAGATTTACACCTACGCCATTAAGCTTTTCCGCAACTGATCTTTCTCCTAGTTTGCAACCACCTTTCCCCGGCGGGGAGGGGAGGGGGAGGTGAAGAGGGGGAGAGGGGTTGGCCGACTCGAGCGCCGTCAGATCGCGCGCGGTTGTCTCGGTCCAACCCCGGGGAGCGGGGAAGCGGTACTCACTGTGAAACAAGCTGCGTCCATGGATCATGTCTGTTCCTTACACAAGGGGCTTCGCTCTCCACTAATTCCATCTAGAGACGGTGGGGCTTCCACGGTGGAGAGCCGAGCAGCCGGGAGCCCACGCGCGCGGCACACGCTCCTCAGCCCAGAAGCTCGACGCCCCCCTCCGCACTCGCTCGCGCTCTCGCCCCGCCGTTTGGCAAGGAGCGACCATTGCCACCGCTCGGCTCCAGAGCAGCCAGCCTCGGGTGCTAGTAGCGGCCGCCGCAGCCGCTGGGAGTCTGCATAACCGGCCAAGGAGGGCGAAGGAGGAAGAGACGCAAAAGCTCGAGTCCGGGCGACGGCCGACGACCGCCAACAGGGAGCTCCCAGGCTCCGGCGCAGAAGGGAGGCGGGCTTCTCTCCTCCCGCTTTACTCGCCAGTTTCACACAGCCACCAGTATTTCGGAGAGAATTTGGAGGCCGAGCTCGTCCGGCCTTTAGAGTGATTGCGGCGCACCGAAGGGAAGAAGCCGGGTGGGCCTGGCGTCAGTTCCCGAGTGGGACGAGGTGGGAGAGGCCCCAAAGTGGGAAGGAGGACTTCTCCGGGGAGGCGGGAGGGGGGGGGAAGAGAACAAGGGGAGAGGAGAGAGCAAAATGGGCTCACCCAGTAGGGGATCTAGTCATCTTGGGGGGAGGGGGGCGCCGCGCAATCCTTATTATTAAAGGTGAAGCCCTTTAAAGTCAGCCCAGCTCACGTCGCCCGCCTCGTGGCGGCACATCCAGCCGAAGTAAAAGTGCGTCTCCTCCGGCCGGGGTAGCAGGACCAGGAAGGGAGAGAGAGAAACAAATCACATTTGAACCCAGAAGCCGTTTAAACCCGGAGAATCTCTCAAGCAGCGATCGGGAGCGAGGATCCCGGAGGGCCGCGCAGTCTTGGAGGTGTCGCCGCCGCCGCCTTCCAAGCGCCCTTCAGTGTCTGCCCCCAAGCAAGAGATGGCGCCTCTTCCACCCTCGCCTCCTGCGTGGCCAACCTGCGAAGGATCTTCGCTCTGCGCGCTGCAGTCTTTCTGGGTCCAAGACCAAGAGTGGGGCGGGATGGCGGCACTGCAATAAAAGTTTAGTGTTACGCCGGCGGCCGCGAATTATCTCTTTTCCCTCAGTCCGGAGGTAGCAGGGAAATGGAGAGCCTCGTCCTCCCGGCTCCGCTTCTTCTCGACGTAGATCCCTTTTTCTTCCACCCTCAAGGGACAATCCGAGACTGGGCTGCGAAGTGGGAGAGAGAGAGAGAGAGAGAGAGAGATCGCAGAGGAGAAGGGAGGCGGAGCCGGGGATGGCGATCCTGAGCGCAGCAGCAGCAGCAGCGGGAAGAGGCAGATTCCTGAAACTGATTCAACTCTCCTCTTTCTTTTTCTTTTTTTTCACTCGGCCGCTTCTGCGCTCAGTCTCCACCGCAGGCGCGCCAAGGACAAAGTCCGCAATACCGGCTGCTTTCACGCACGGGGCTTTCCCAGCCTGCAGCCGCTTCTTCTCCCGCGCGTTGTCAGAGGCATCCACGCAAAAAAAAAGAAGAGCCGCGTGGGGAGGAGGGGGGGAGAGGCAGAGGAGGGAACTGGGCGGGGCTGGGTGAGCGAGGAGAAATAGCCGCTGAATAAGGCAG